GGTCCATATGGCGGTCGTTGCACTCGACGTTCAGATGAGGCAGTGGAAAGTCAGTATGTACGGTCACCTTATACAGCCATCACTAGTAACAAGAGAAAAACCATTCAGAAAGGTACAACCCAGACAATGCTGGACTTAAATGTAACAGATTCGTCTCTCGATACAAAAGAGGATAAGTTTGATCAAGTAAGTCATGTATATTATATATGTATTATACAATGTTATTCATTTGTGATACTCTATTTCACGATTTTTGGTTTTTTATTGTTGGTTGTAATTTGTTTTAGAGTTTGAATTTTCTTGGAAAACTACTTGGCGCCAATTTTGATGCTATTGAGGTTATTATTCATTCTGTTATTGTTCTTGATCTCCAATCCCCTTATTTTAGTGCATTGTACAAAGTTTGACAATTTGTTATTTATGTATTGGGTTATATTCACAAGTCATCCACTACACGAATCGTGAGGCAATGTCCTTTATCTGCTAAGGAAAAAATTCTGAAGGAATATTGTTTCGATAAGAATTTGGATAACAGGAAATTCTATTGAGTTTGTATGTTCCTCTGTCAATTAACAGTAAGTTTAACTCTTCAATTTTTACATGATTCAGTGAGGATATTGTGGTGATGGAGCTGTTTTACACGCCGATTAAACTTGCCACCTGCTTAGATTTGTGCTTATTACAACCAAAGACCTGGATTCGTGGTTTCGTAAGTGTTCATTTCATACGTCAATATTGCTATGTGATGTCATTTTCAATGATACAGGTATGAAATTATTATTTCTTACATGTATTGTAAAATATCAATTTAGTTGTAACAATATTGACAAATGCACAAAGAAGGGTTTTTCAGGATAAGTGTCATAGTACATGGTACTTTCCCACATATGTATCAGTGAGTAGTCTAGTGTGTCATGTTTATGTTTGGGTGGAAATGTATACTTTTTGATACATACTTGTATATTATTGAATGTAGTAACATATTCTGAATGTGACGGACCATGCAAAGCTATGCGACGAATATTTTGGGGAGTCTCGATACACTGGGAAACTACATGTCTGTCAAGAAGTAATGGGTCAAGCACTCTTACATTTTGCATAACTATTCTAAATATTATCTCCATTGTGCTACAATTATTAATTTTTTAATATGTTTCTTATGCTATTATTATTATTATTTATTGAATTTTAATTTTCTAAATTGGTTGGGCAACATTGGAATAATTTTTGTTATTATTGTTGCTTAGATATATATTCCGGTGAATGACAATAGAGAACATTGGTTTTGTGTCAACATAGATATGGCACATCGCATGGCCTATATATTTGACTCGCATCCTAGTCGTACAAATGACAAAAGTTGAGAATTAATGGCAAGAAAATTGGTAGGCCATTTAATTTATTTATTTTTTTGGTTAAAATAATCATCATAATCTATCTTACTATACTCATGCATAGGTTCAAACACTGCATTTGTTACTGCAACACTATTTTGGAGACCTATATGTTGCAAATGTCAAGGAGTTTGAATTAGAGAGATTAAAAAAGCCTTGTCTCCAGCATAAGACCGATAGGTATACTATAAAAATTATTCCTTCACTATTCAATTTTGGCTCTCCTATTAACATTACACACAAGTTTGACCTTCACATGCATCTTTTCATGAAGTTATGACTGTGGTATGATCATCATAAAGTATATGCAAGGTGTTGTCATGCCGACCGGCATACACAAGGTGACTATTTCATGTTTAACCACATAATTACACTATTGCAATTATATTATCATATGATGGTATTGTTGATGGTATGTTGTTTGTTCTATTTAATTAGTTTGATAAAGTGGAAAGGTTTAGGTTGCTAGTTGACCTAGTGAAAGATTTGTCGAACAGTAAGTATATTGATGTCATGGATCGGTTCGACGAATACAAAGAGAGGTGCGTCTCCAAACCATGAACAACTTATGCCCTTCATAAGCTTAGCTAATTACTTATTAAATGTAATTTCCTTTGGAACAGTTATTTTAGGTTCCAGAAGGCCAAAAGGAAAAAGAAAGATTAACAACAAACATCGTTTTTGCCACTAAGTTTTTTTACAATTATGAGCATATAAATGGTTGAAGAAGCCTGAACGAATGAAACTAACCTGGTTTGGAAATTTTTTGTGGATGCTTGAATAAGTATATTAGTTTTGGATTTTTGTTACCAATTTATATGGAATATCTAGTAGTGGTAAAGATTGTTGTGATGAAACTACATCTGATATGTAATTATGAAGCAGTACTCTTAGTTGTTACAATTACAATCACTCAAAAATTTCACAAGAAGGCTGACATTGTTTACAATTTGTTTTATAAGTAAAGAGGGGGAAAAAAATAACACTGTTCATAAAATAACAGGTTTCACAAGAAGTTTGGTCATCCATCCATGGTTGTGTCCATTTGTTGGCTTTTATCATGGTTGGGCCCATCAGATTCCTCTTCACTATCATTATAACTAGTCGAATTTTATGAAGCTTCACCACAAAACAGTTTCCACATTTGTTTTAATTCTGACTTGACCTTCCTTATGTCATTCTTGTGTTGCAAGTCTATCCGGATCAATACGGAAATAACCTCATACAAATAAGTTGATAGGTGCTCCAACAAAGTTGGATATTGTCTTTCATGATGTTTTGACTTTGCTCTTCCGTTTTGCCATACGTTCCACGAACTATGCTGCATGTGGATTATTTGGTATGCTACCAAAGAATTCTCGTACCAAGTTGACATTAGCCTTCCTACTCGTTCGATTAGGTTTTGGATATGCAGATGGCCCACAATTGCCGAAATTTCAGAATGAATTAACTCCTTTAGTGTTGCTCTACAATAACAGCCCGTTTAGAAAAAAAAACACCAAGGTCATTGGGAGGAGCTATTGTTTTTCATTTACCCGATATTGTTGTTTTTTATCTGCACCAAGTTCAGTTACCTACGTAAGATTCAAACATATGTTAACATCTAAAACAACGTGGACTGATGTAAATTTTGATAAGAAAATGAGACAATTCAAAAAATCAAAACTGAAATATGAAGGGAGCCCCACATGTTTGGGGTGGCATAACCATATTTATGCATTCTTTGTTATTCATTAAAAATTAAAATAAATAGTAAGGATGAAAAAGAAAAGGAGACACATTGCAATATTAGTAGTGATTGTAAACTCATCCAACTTAAGGACAACAGTCGAACAAACAGATTTGGGATTTATTCACCTTTATTTTTTAAATGATTCTCCAAACTAAGAAATTTATGGATATTGTGAAAGATTAAAACACCTAAGACATTAGCAAAATGTAACTAATAAGCACTAATGTCTCCTTGCAAAAACAACGTATCGATCACTCTAAGGCTCATTATAAAACTAAACTACACTTGAGAATCTGTCGGTTCATTGATATCTTCCATGTGGGGCTCCTACTATGTGTTCATGAATGTTTCAATGCCTGAGTCACTTCCTTCTCTCTAGCTACTTGAAGCCAATTTTTTACACCTCCACTTTGTGTGTCCGATGCTCCTACAATAGCAAATAATGGATAAACAATTTTAATAATCATGTACATACAACAGGATGGAAAAAGGGCATGCAATTAAAGTACCATACCTACAATACCCACACCGCCTTGGTTTTGGAGGTTTACCCATAGAAGATGTCCCTTCGAGGTTCCCTTTGGTCTTGACTACATTAGGATCATCAACACCACATAGTTTGGATGCAATATTTTTGTCCCCAGCCTCGGTATTATATTCTGTTTGCATTGCCCAACGCTTTTTCATCTTTGATGTCATCTGGAAAGCTATTTCCCTTGCCTCTTCAAAATCTTTGTCTACGTGTGAGGCATAATATGACATTTCAATAAACATGAGCTTAGTATACCGAACCGGGCTGTCTGTGTTTGGGTGCTAGAAATTTGGGTAAGACTTGGTTGTTGATATCCTGACCTACCACGTCTTGTCCATCTCTTCAAGACACAACTCAATGGAACATACATTAATTGTTCAGATTTCATGACGGCAACGATATGGCAGCAAGGGATGCCAAACGATTCAAACTTCAAGCAACAACATTTTATTGTGATATCTGCTGGAAAATACTCAACCGTCCATGTGCATGTTGATGCCTTGTACTCACCAAAACGATAGGTGCAACGATCCTTCAACTCAACTTTTTCCATCACAAACAATTTACATTCTTTGCTGATTTCACATCGAAACAATGAAAAAATATTCCGACTAAAGAGCTCAGCTACATGTTTCTCCAAACTTCTCAATGGCGTAGTTAAAACTGGGAAACTATTCTCTGTTTTTAGATTCTATTTCTACCTCATTAACACGCATCCTAGCAAGAGCCCTATCATATTGTGCTACAATTTGTACAACCTTACCTTTTGTTCTAGGAACATATTGAAATATGCATTCATACCCTCCACACGTTGAGTGCTCCTTATCCCAGCAAACATGTGACCACGAAGATACGCCTCAACCCATTTATCATGCCTGCGATGAATCTCCAACACCTAGTTATTTTTCTCCAACTTGTATTGTTTCACCACATGACCAGGCATTGTCAAACTCATCAATTTTACATTTCTTTAACATCAACTGTGCGAAATCATTAGTAAATTCTGGTATGTGGACATTGGTTGAGGCATTTTTCTCCAAATGACAAGAACATAAACGATGTCTGCAATTTGGAATAACTCTTTTGATTGCCTGACGCATTGCCCTATCACCATCTGTTACAACAGAGATGGGTATGTCTCCATTAACGTTCCCAACACCCACGTGTATGTCTCCATTGTCTCATCAAGCAACAAAGCACATCCAAATATGATTGTCATAAAATGGTTACTCACTCTAGCTAAAATCACAAATGGCTTTTTATACTGATTTGTACGATATGTTGTATCAAATACCAATACATCACCAAATACAGCATAGTCTATCTAAGACCTACCATCTGCTCATAAAATCTTGTCCAATCGGTTATCCTTATCGACGTTGTACTTGAAAAAAAATAATGGATCTGCATCTAGTTTAGCTGATAAGTATCCTAAAGCACCCTCTGCATCCCCTTCTGTGAGTTGTACTTTGCATTCAGCTTGGAATTGGTTATGCAAATCTCTGTGAATGAAGCCCACCTTCTCATAACCCCCTGATTGATAGACCATAAAATCCATGATCTGACTCGTTTTCATACCCATATTGCGCATAGCCTTTACTTGAACTTGGTTTACACTTGTTACAAACCTATGTGACCAAAGAAAAGGGACGCAGTGTGGTGCTGCCAAGGGATGTGTGGTTTCCTACAAGTGTGTCACAACATATTTTCTAATTGTCTTGTCATAACACACACCAAATGTGGCACTCTAAAAAAGTCTAGTTTCTGCCCTGGGAGTTCTTATCTGTTCCACAGGCTGTAAGTATTTCTTTTCTCTTGCACTTTCCCTTGAACAAACCCATTTCCTACTCTCTTCAAATTTGTTGTCTCCATAAATTCGTTTCCTACTTCTTCGTACGCTAAAACCGATGACCTTAGCATATGCATTGTAGAAAAAATAAGCATCCTCTTTTGAATTGAATTTCATTTGCAAAACATTAACCTTAGTAAGCATTCGTAAACTATCATAGGTTTGGGAAGCTAACCCTTTTTCTTTCCCATCGAAAACATCATCCTTGCCATCCGGAGCACCTTGATTGTCAATTTCACTGTTGACCTGTTTTTGCGTACTACTTTCAGGTTCATCCATCATATCTACATAACAAATCACACGGACAACAGATGTGCAGATTTGGCATCAATTAACTGCAAATAATAAACAAGTACACTCGTAAATACCCTATTATCAGTTAAAATCAAACAAATCAACAAAAAACCACACCCGCCAGTGCCTTGCTATAAATTAAAAATCAAACAAATAAATAAGCACACTCGCCAGTGCCCTGCTATCAATTCAAAGCCAATAAATTCAAAAACATACTTGCAAGTACCCTTCTATCAACTAAAACCAAAAAAATAAATAAAAAAGTACACCCGCCAGTACTCTGCTATCAATTATCAATTCTTAAAAGAAAATGAAAAAATAAGCACACCCACCAGTGCGTTGCTGTCAATTAAACAAAAAAAAAAAAAAAACCACCTGCAAGTACTCTACTATCAATTAAAATTAAACAAATAAACAAAAAAGCACACCTGCCAGTGCCCTGCTATAAATTAAAATCAAACAAATAAATAAGCACACCCCGCCAGTGCTCTACTATCAATTCAAAGAAAATAAATTCAAAAACACGCCTGCAAGTACCCTACTATAAATTAAAATATAAAAAAGCACACCAGTCAGTGCTCTGCTTTCAACTATGAATTATTGAAAGAAAATGAACAAATAAGCACACCCGCCGGTGCTCTACTATCAATTCAAAGCAAATAAATTAAAAAAACACACCTGCAAGAACCCTACTATCAATTAAAATATAAAAAAGCACACCCGTCAGTGCTCTGCTTTTAATGATTAATTGTTAAAAGAAAATAAACAAAGAAGCACACCTGCTAGTGCTCTACTTTCAATTATCAATTCTTAAAAGAAAAAGAACAAATAAGCACACCCACCGGTGTTTTGCTATCAATTGAACGCAAATAATAATAAATAAATAAAAACACACACACACACACACACACAAATAAGCACGCCCGCCGGTGCTCTACTATCAATTCAAAGCAAATAAATTAAAAAAACACACCTGCAAGAACCCTACTATCAATTAAAATATAAAAAAGCACACCCGTCAGTGCTCTGCTTTTAATGATTAATTGTTAAAAGAAAATAAACAAAGAAGCACACCCGCTAGTGCTCTACTTTCAATTATCAATTCTTAAAAGAAAAAGAACAAATAAGCACACCCACCGGTGCTTTGCTATCAATTGAACGCAAATAATAATAAATAAATAAAAACACACACACACACACCTATAAGTACTCTACTATCAATTAAAATGAAACAAATTAACAAAAAAGCACACCTGCCAATGCCCTGCTATAAATTAATATCAAACAAATAAATAAGCACACCCGCTAGTGCCCTGCTATCAAATATTATTATTAAAATCAAATGAGTGAATAAGCACACCCGCTAGTGCCCTGCTATTAATTCAAAGAAAATAAATAAAAAAACACACTCGCAAGTATCCTACTATCAATTAAAATAAACAAATAAATAAAAAGCACACCCAATAGTGCCCTGCTATTAATTAAATGTAAATAAATTAAAAACCACACCTGCCAATGCAACTGCTAGGGAGAGAGGGGGGAGGTATAGCTTTACTTCTACGTTAAAATGTAGAAATTGAGGACCTGTGACAAACAACAACAGAACATCGAAACAGAGTTAGCAAAGAAGACAATCCTTAAGGAGATTTATGATTATGGGGCGAAAAAATAGAATCTATGTATGAAAAGTATTATTTTGCACATCTTTTCACATTAACAAATTGCATAACCAATAATAGAGATGAAACTGTACTACCTTTGTTCAAAGTATCAATAACCATTGCATAAATACTTAAACAAATGTACCAACACCAACCGATTGACCACTTAAAAGATAATTTATAAACGATCTACCAAAAAAAAAAAAATTTATTTGATTGGATGGACTATTGGATTATTTGACAGATATAACTTGGTTAATTTCGTACTAGTTTAGCTTTTAATTTGATGGACTATTGGATTAGTTTTTTAATAAATCGGTATTCGCCCTATTCATCTATTTGACTATTGGATTTGGATTATTGTTATTGGGTTTTCTTATCTTCATAGAACCATTATGTTGTGCTTGGATCATGGATTTGAGTAGAGATTTGAAAGAAAAAGGGAAAATGTAGGTGGAATGTGAATTAAATATGATTGCATTTCACGCACTTATTCCTTTTCCTTTTCCAAATCTTTAGCTAAATCCATGATCCAAACATAACATTAAGGAAATATGATGTTTTCAGCATCATAAAAGCAAAGCACATTTGTTTCTTTCTTTCTCTTTTTCTTTCTTTTTTGCATTATTTAATAGTACAAGTTGTAGTTTAGATTGTATAAGCATATCTGCGAAAAAGTTGTATTTTAATAGTTGTTTATGTCAAATTTTGTATTTCTTTCTTTGAAGTTTATGCCACTGTATTATTTTCCACACAAATTTGAAATAAAATAAAAATGTGGGAGTGCATTTTCCAAATTATTTGAGCCAACATCAGTCCATATATCATACTCACATGAAGTTATACATCATACAGTAAGTAACTATAAATGGCAACAACTATGGCTTTGGTTATAATTCTTTCTTAACATAAATGATATGTATGTAGAAAAGTGCCAATAATTTGAATGTATGATATAAATTTAACTTCATGTGATGTGGACCACACCCTATATCAATTTGATCCACCCATTTAAAATTGTACACATTTTTCCTAGTATTTTTCCTAATTATGTAGAATTGTTGTTTACTTAAAAATCATAACTTAGTTTAATTCCTAGTACTTTTCTCTATCAAAGAGGAAGATGAGTTGCTTTTAACTAGGTCGACTATGTGATTCTTGTTATTGGGTTTTCTGATTTTGATAAAGCCTTTTTGAAAATCTGATGTTTTCATTTGAGCATCATAAAAATCATACTCTAATAAAATTCCAGAATTTTATTATCAAGATCATTGATGATGATAATAATGACAACTAATAAAATTGTTAAATTCTAATATATTGCAAAATAGGTTTTGAAACAGATCCTAGTCAAGGATCCAACAGCTTGTAAGGAAAACTAATTTTCCAAGTAAAACATTTAAATTACCTTCTTATGCATCCGTTATTAAAAAGCATATGTTATACAAACATCATTACTTTAAATTCCAGTATCAAAAGATTACTGCAAACAATATAATTTCAGAAATGTAGGAAACCCTTAATAAAAGTAGTGTATACAAAGAATGGGAACACTTTCGTAAATGAAGAATGGACAAGAGTCATCCTAGACATGACTCAAGTGTATGCTAGATAAGCAGCCGATCAAAATAAAATGTTTGCTAGATAGGCAGGTAAATATATCACTAGGGGAAATATTTAGAATTAGTGTAGTTCAGAATTTGACAATGATTTTTTCTAGATATTTAAATTAATCAAATGCTAATTTAATTATCTCTAAAAACTCTCAATACTTTCTTGAAGAATCATCAAGCATTTCAACTACGTGTTGATTTGTCCACGTTCTCTCACATCAAGTACGCTCTACGCATCAAGGCTTACAAAGATACAACTTCAAGCTCTTATTTCAGAGATTATTTTGAGTTTTGATTGAGATCAAGCGATTCAAGCCCTCAATAAATTCTCTTTTCCCTCAAGCTTCTCAATTTGAACACTTAAAGAAATCCATCAATTGGTTCGATTTTTTTTTGTTATCTATTCAATTTTCTTTTCTCCAGTAATGTGATTTGACATGTATCAATGTCCTATAAATCCTTTATCTCTTACTCTTCCTCTTCCTCTTGGACAACATAAAGCCATTGGATTTTTTAATATTATACATTGGTTATGCTGGGTATCTATTGGTATAATAAAGAATGATTTCCCCCCCCCCCCTAAACTTATATAGAAAGTCATTGGTTTCTCCATTCATTATGTATTACATTGAGTTGAATATTAATAAGAACCTACTCAATCTGATGGAATTCCAAACAAATATAAATTTAATATTAAGATAATATGTGCATAGATAATGCACCAACAACATCCAATCATTAGAAAAATTGTACATCAATCAATAAAAATCCTCAAATGTAGAGGTAAAATATGCAACTATTAATCTAAAAGGGAAATATTACATTCAACCATAACCCAAAAGCACCATTACCAGAAGTATAACATAAGAAGAAATGAAAAATTAGAAACATAAACAGATTTTAATAAATACACAATTGAAATCTCGTATTAGTTACATGAGCTCACACATCAGGTTACACAAACTCAAGCACAATTTCAAGATATATCTATATATATGGAGTCAAAACAACTACCAAATCAAACAAATATCAAACAATCATATTTTCCTAAATTTAGAATAGAACCACTCCAAGTGAGTTCACAAACATGAAAGGGGTAGTTTTGAAGAATGAGAAACAAGAATCGATAAACGAAATAGGGGTTAACAAAAGAGGATTTCAAAGAAAGGAATCAAAACAACTATCAAAGCAAACAAACATAACCTAATTTTATAAACCAACACAGTGAGTTCACAAAGGTGAAAGGGGTAGTTTCAAAGAAGGGGCTTTCGAACTACGATTTCATAGAATGGAGATGGAAAAAGGGAGAGAAAAAAGTTGCAGAGAGAGAGAGACATACTTTGAGGGGAAGTTAAGAGCAGGTCGTGTTTGCGGGATAGTCTTTGAGGGTTGGTCTTCAAGGGCGAAAATGAGAGTCCGAGTCGTGTCTGAAAAACATAAGGGTTTTGGAAAAATGAAGAGGGTTTGTGGAAAGAGAATAATCGGTACATAAATTTGTCAAAATCGTAATCGGTTGAAGAGGTGCTCCAGATTTCTAATCAAATTATTTAATGGTTGAGATTAATTTGTAAATATCTAATAATTTAAAATAAATGTGTACATGATGTGCAAGTCTTCCTGAAGTGCACATCTTAACAGTTTCCTATAAAAATAAATTTTATTTCAAATTTCAAATTTCAAAAATTTATTATTAATAAAAATAAATTATAATTTTTTTAAAATTTTTTGCCTAAACCGTCAATCCTCTTTCTTCCCCCCTAAACCCTAATTCTTCTCCTCCAAAACCACTAGCTTTCTCAATCTTTCCCAATCCAAAAACCTCAATGCTCTCCACCATCCTCCTTCGAGAACATTCCAGAACCTCCCCTCACCTTCTCTCATCCCTCACCTTCCTCCGTTCCATGGGCGGCGGTCCTCGTACCTTCCCCGGCGGCCTCAACAAATGGCAATGGAAGCGACTCCACCAGAAGAAAGCCAAAGACAAAGAGAAGAAGCTTCTCGATCAAGAGAAACAGCTCTACCAAGCCCGAGTCCGATCCCAAATCCGAGCCAATCTTGCCGGAAACCCCGATAATGACTCACAGTCCGACCCCAATTTCAGCCCCATGACCGCCGATGACCACCTCAAAGCCCTCGCCGACCGGTTCATGAAGGCCGGAGCTGAAGATTTGTGGAACGAAGCCGACGGTCCGATCAAGTCTCGGTCGACTCAATTGCCGCCGACACCGAATAATCGATCAATTCGAAGGCCGATTGATTTGAGAAAGTTGGTTTCGGAGAGTGATCGAGCTCCGAATTCGATCAATCTCAATGATTCAATGAAGAATCGTCACTATTCGGTTCAAACTCGAAGAGTGTCGAGGTTTAATTTTCGGAGAAATGAGAGTTCTTCGAGTGAGGACGATTCGGATTTGGATTTGGATTCGGAAGAGGGTTTGGTGAGGGGGTTTGGGTCAGGAGGAGATGAGGAAGATGAGGAAATTAAGGGTGGGGGTAATGTGAAGAAGTTGATGAGTAGTAGTGCTGCTTTGGGGAAGTATGATGTGAAGAAAACGAGGCGAGTGCCGTTGAAGTTTTTGGAAGATGAGGAGAATTTATCGGACCACATTGAGGCGATTAGAAATGAGTTTAATAATAGGAATTCGATTGAGAATGCTACGGATAAAAGCGATGAGAACTCAATTCTTAGTCAAAAGAGGTATCCGAATTGTTTCACATAGTAGCTTATGAGTTTTCTTGGGCATATGGGGAAGGAATTGGAAATGAGCAATCTTTTGAATGAAGTGTAAACTAATAAAATGTTCCATTTTCAATATTGCAATTGTAAATCCAATGAAGTTGGTGTTGAAACATAAAATATTCTTGATTTTGCACTCTTTGCCAGCTGTGTTTGTGTTTTGAACATTTCCATGGCATTTCAGTTGTTGCAACATATGTCAAACTATAGATTTTATAGGACTTCTGTATGGAGTCTCAGTTCATTAAGATGTTGATTGATTGTTCCAATTGTTGTAAATTTAGTTTGGTGTTAAATTTATGAGTTTTAAGTTTTAGTTGGTGCCTTAAAAATATTTATATGGCATTTGGTGACACTATGATGTGTATGTTTTCCAGGTTTGATGAGTGTAATGTATCTCCGTTGACTGTCAAGGCGCTTACTGAGGCAGGATATGTGCAAATGACAAGGGTACAAGAGGCTACACTTTCTGTTTGCCTGGAGGGTATGTTTAACACTAGTTATTTATTATATGACATACTTTCAGAAGGGTATTACACTTCTGCTGTCAACATTGTATTTGGTAGGATAGACTGTTAGAACAAGCTATGCATGAAGCTTTTCAATAGCATCTGCATGTTGTAGAGTCATTTTACATGTTTTCGGGTGATTTTTTTTTATTAGTACTTCCAATGCAAAAATTTCTAATCAACATCTAAAACTGCCGTTAGCATAATTTTTTTACGAAGGTGTGGTGGTTGTGCTATGGTAAGATTTTGATTTGGGGCTTTCTTAATCAAAATCTTGCTCGAACTTTGTATTTTCTATGATCATCTCCCCCTTAAGATTGAGAAATGAGAATCTTGTAGTTAAACCAAGATTGAACTTGTTAATTGGATTGAATTCCAACTCTATAATGGTGGAGTGCATTCCAATTGCTGCATGAGGCACTGTGAGCCTTGAATCTAAATTTTACCTTGAAGCACCTTGAGTCCATCAAACATAATACAACCTTGTGTGAAAACTAGCTAAAAAAGGATTTGAATGATAAGAAACCCGCTTTTCATTAATTTATAGAATGCTTGTTTGAGAATTAGGGCTAATTTGAACATGAGGGATGCATGTATGATTCCAAAACATATTGTGAGTGATAAATTGTTGGGAACCAAGCATTTTGGTCATATGCATTATTCTCATGAAACAGTTGGGGTTAATGGCTGTCTTACTTTCACACCTGTATGTTCAACATTTTCCAATCAGTATACATTTATAATATGATCTTCAATGTGTGACAGGAAAGGATGCTTTAGTCAAAGCTAAAACTGGCACAGGCAAAAGTGCTGCCTTTTTGGTATATCACAAGTCCCTTGATGTGCTAATTTATTTTAGATAATTTATTATTATTCTTTTAGTGCTAAACACAAGCAGCTTCCTGCAATTGAAACAGTTTTGAAAGCTTCAAGTAGTAACAAAATTCAACGAGTGCCAGCAATATATGTTCTTATTCTCTGTCCCACGAGAGAACTTGCCAGTCAGATAGCTGCAGAAGCAAAAGTTATGCTTAGGTACCATGATGGTATTGGGGTCCAAACATTAGTCGGAGGTACAAGATTCAAAGTTGACCAGAAAAATCTAGAATCAGATCCATGCCAGGTGCACCCATATACTTGTGCTTGTTCGAACTTCTGTCACGAGAAGAGAAATCTGAGAAATTGTAGATTAACACATGGAACATAACAACTTGTTACATCATAATTTTTACAGATAATAGTTGCGACTCCTGGTAGATTGTTGGATCACATTGAGAATAAGTCTGGCTTTTCCGTGCGTGTGATGGGATTGAAAATGCTTATCCTTGACGAAGCAGACCACTTACTTGACCTGGGATTTCGAAAGGACATGGAGAAAATTGTTGATTGTTTGCCCCGTCAGAGGCAGTCCTTGCTTTTTTCTGCCACAATCCCAAAGGAGGTGAAAAACTGAATTTATCATGCATAATATCCTTCAGCAGAAATTTTAGAGATGCTGTTATTATTTGCTGTATGCATCAACTCATTTTTGAGAATCTGGTTCTACAATGAATTTGCAGGTTCGCCGAATATCTCAACTTGTTTTGAAAAGAGAACATGCTTATATTGACACAGTGGGGCTGGGCTGTTTGGAAACTCCTGTTAAGGTATATTGTTCTACTTCTGATCAGGACTGAAATTTTTGTTTTCACTCTCTACATTTCCAAATTGATTATGCAAGGATTTAATACAATTCATGATATGTCTGAACAGGAGTTTCACTCTCTACATTTCCAATTATGTTTTACTTTGTTTTCACTCCCTTTTAGTTTCTTTGGTTTGATGCTCCATTTCGGATAAATCTGAAAGGTCATCTACGTTTCTAATGCTCCTTTGGCTTGCTGAATGAAGGTTAAGCAGTTTAGTCTTGTTGCGCCACATGAACTGCATTTTCAAATAGTGCACCATCTCTTGAATGAGCATATCTCACAAACACTTGATTACAAGGTAAGATATTGTCGCTTCTATGTTTATTTATAAAATTGTTCGTTAAATTACTTTTCCTAACAAATTCTCACTCAATTTCTTTCTAGGTTATTGTTTTCTGTACAACTGCAATGGTGACATCCCTCATGTATCTCCTTTTGCGGGAGATGAGACTGAATGTCAGGGAAATACATTCGAGAAAACCTCAACTCTACCGTACCCGTATCTCTGATGAATTCAGGGATTCCAAACGATTGATTCTGATTACGTCAGATGTTTCAGCTCGTGGAATGAATTATCCTGATGTTACTCTGGTCATTCAGGTATTGACGCACAAAATAACAAAACTCTCTTGTTTATTATGGGAATCCTTAGTGAATTACTTAAATCAAAGTATTTCACTTTAAAAATGGCAATAATGCACCAATAGTAGTCAACTTGTGTTTTGTAAGATGGAGGTATTGCCATATAATGGTCCCTATGCATTTGGGTTGTTATGACAGTGATACCCGATATGTACACATATGTTTATATATATTTAAACAGAATACGTGGAGATACTTTCTTTATCACTATAACATAAAAAATAAAAAATAAAAAACCTTTTTGATTTTTTTTTTAAATCAAGCAGTTAGAAAATTACACTTTCATATGCTATAGAAAAAAAGTGTGCATTTAAAATCACATGTTAAAGCACTATTGCATCTTTCAATTTCATTGTTCCTATACTCTGCATGGACACAAGGGTTAGCATGTGCATTCCTCTATGTCACTACTTATCATTGTGTAAAATTTTCGATTCCCAGGTGGGTATTCCTTCTGATCGTGAACAATATATTCATCGTCTTGGAAGAACAGGACGGGAAGGCAAAGCAGGAGAAGGAATTTTGTTGCTTGCACCATGGGAAGAATATTTCCTGTACGACATAAATGACCTGCCTATTGAAAAATTTCCTTTACCACATTTAGATCCAGATGTGAAAACGAAGGTTTGAATCAAACTCAGTGATTAGAACATGTTCCTATTTACTTATTCCACCAGCGTCACCTTCCATTTGTACACTTGTGGTTTTTGAGATGTCTAAAAACTCGTTCCTCATTCATGCTCAAGTACTACTTAAATTTGTTGACTTGCAGATGAAGAATTCATTGTCGAAGATTGATGCTAACATCAAAGAAGCAGCGTATCATGCTTGGCTTGGCTACTACAACTCAGTCAGGGAAATTGGCAGAGATAAAACTACACTTGTGGATCTAGCCAACCAATTTTGTCAGTCAATTGGCTTGGAGAAAACTCCAGCGCTGTTCAGGAAGACAGCTCTGAAAATGGGCTTGAAAGACATCCCTGGAATTCGGATTCGAAAATAGCATTGATGATGAATCTATCAACTGGATTCATCTATTTATTAAAATGGTACTGTATACATGATATAACGGGCTGGCACCTCGAATCAAAAGAGCAGCTGCTCGTGCATGGAACAGTTCGATCCTCTCCAGTAAGTACAGTATATCAAGTTAAAGTAGATACGGTGACTGGCTGATCCCATTGAGTTGCAACATTTTTTGAAGGGGCTTTTAGCTTGAACTGTATTATTTTTCGACTTGTAGAGGCAGGGATAGAGGATTATTGTATGCAGGATGGATTTTTTTTTATAATGAATTTATCTGTAACATGCTTGCAGGTCAAAAATTGATTTTCTAATATGAACCGTTGATTTATATCTGGTCCTTTAAATCTTAAAATTTTCATTTTGTGAACTAATGCCAGTTTGGTAGGGTATACTTAGTCAAATATTTTATAATTTTTTTTTGTCCTTCCTTCTTTTGAACTTTTTGTTTTTTGTTTTTGAAGTTATTCATATCAAAAATTAATCTCATGGGTTAATTAAAACTTAAAATACAGAGGAACGAGTACGCAGGGGAAGGTGCAAGTGATATAAAGCTCCAAAAAATTGATTATTGATCATACCCAACTTGTCTCGGAACTTTCAAAATATAATTAATTTTTTGGAATTGGTTCAATATGAAGTTTTATTCTGGCTTTAATTAGTCTACTTAGAGTATCTCTAATGCTTGCTCAGTTATTTTATTAAATTTGAATAAAAGCTTGATTTGATATGATGAGTTATAATCGTTTCATCAAATTTGGCCGGTTGTTCGGTTTAGAGTAAATTTTCACCAAATCTTTCCAAATCTAGTCATACACCAACGGTTACATTTGAAATTTGATGAAAGATTAAGCCATTCCTTGATTTGATGAAAGTTTTGATTTTGTCTTAATTTAATATGAGTTTGATGATAACGGTGGAGCCCAAAAAGTAAGTGTTTTTTATCAAATTCAAATTTAATGAAATATTTGAATAAGGGTTAGAGATGATCTTATTAGTAGTGGATGGTAGGATTGCTTCTCTGGATTAGTTGGTCCTTCGGACCAAATATTGAGTTATAAAAAAATAAAAAAACAAAACTTGCCAACGAGTTTCTATTCCAACCGCATTTCACTATTTTTTTTTTTTTACATATTGGGGTTCAACTTATCATTAAATTAAGGTTAGATGGCATTAATAACGATAGTCACAATTAATCGATTCTCTTTTTCCATTCTTAAAAGTAAATTAGATATATAACTTGTTATTGAAAATTTAAAAATAAAATTTGTCAATATGGTAACGTATATTGTTAACTCCTCATTATGTTATGTGATAGAAATAAAAAATAAAAAATAAAAAATAAAATTATGGTAACAAGTGATATAAATTTGTGGATGCATATAAAATCTTATGAGAAAACTTGAATGGGCTGTGTGGGCCCCATTTTTTACAATAAATGAGAAAAACAGCCCCTTTACAGACGTCAATATGTGGAGTTAATACTCAAAAAAACCATTTCACATTTTTGGGCATTAGATTTTCCGGCCATGGTTGGTGGCTCGAAAATATATAACTCGAATGACTCGAAATATTTAAAGTAAAGTCATTTTAGGTGTAAAATAACATCATTTTGTCATTTTTGAATCATTCGAGTCCCATATTTTCGGGCTACCAAACATTAATCTAGATTTTCTATCTGGTTGTATTGCTTTTACAAGATTGTACAATTTGTTTTTTATATCCACTTTTACGCTGACTTTTTGATTTTTTAAAATTTTTAATATATATTTTATAGTCACACGTTAACAAAATATATTTTAATATTAACTTATTACTAATTAAAAATAAATAAATTTATTCACATAATATGAATTTATGTGAACTTAAAGGTGGTTTGGAATTATTTAAATAAGTACACTTTTTGACTTTTTATGAAATATGAATTGGGCATGGATTGAATTTGAAATGATGTGATAGAGAGGTGATGTGACTTAAATAGAATAGTAACTTTTTAACTTTTTGACCTTTCTAAGTTATGACAAACAATACCTTAATCATGCTTTGAAATTACCTAAGTAGTTAATGTTGAATGATTTGACATTACCTAATATGGAGATGGTAATGCCACAATTTATTGGTTTCATACATAAATTTCGGTATGGACTTAAATAGGTAATTTTTTTATTATTTTAGTGACTTTCTTTTTCTTTTCTTTTTTTTCATTTGCAATAGTTAATTTAGTTAACAAAAAAGGGGAAAATTTTATTTGGGGCATTTACATGCCTCCTAAGTTATGAATTTATACTCTATTAATTCCTAATTAAAAATTGTTGGACCTTAAAGTCCTATAAAATTTTTAATAGTCAAAATTGTTCTTCAAATAATAATTGTTCATCATTTATGATTATTTATAAAGAAATATGATAATTTGATATTAATTTTGATTTTCAAAATTTTGAAATATCAATTTTTAAATTGAAAAAACTAAAAAAAATTATGTGCAAAAAAAAAAAAAAACAAAAAATTGAAAAAACTGAATTATTTTTTGTGCAAAACTAAAAATTGTACATCTATAAAGAAACGTGATGATGGAACATTGATGTGTAAAAAAAATTAAAAATAAAAAAATTGATAATGTTTTTTGATTTATTGAATAATTGAATCAAACTAATAAGTAGAAGGGCAAAAACATTTAATCTCATGTTTTTTTTTATCAGTTAGTGAAACAATTATCTAGAACATTATTATGCAAATTTGATAATATTCTTAATTTTAAAAATTAGAAAAAATTGATAATATTCTCAATTTTACTAAATAAGACTTATTGGTTCAAAAAATCTTAAATAGGACTTGAACTGCCATAACATTTGTAAACAGGACTTTTAGGTAATTAACTCAATTTATTTTTATACTCAATTTTATCACTAACAATTTTTTTTTTAATATATACCAAACAAATTAACTTTTTTTTTTCTTTCAAAAAAGTTCATAAAAAAATATTGCCAAACTTCACCAAAAAGTATATGGACCAAAAGAAGAAAATAGCGTTAGAAAAATAAAGAGTAACTTATAGTCCCATAGTTTAAGTGAAGTGTCGTTTTAGTCCACATACTTTTAGCTTCATTGCAGTGTTGTCATTCTCTCATGTGTTGTTAATATTTTGAATAGAAAAAGATTACATGCAAAAGTAGAGTGACCAAAGTAAAATTTAAAAGAAACTATAAGACTAATTTAGTTTTGGTATTTTTTAGTCCAAAATTATGACAATAAGTAACAGAAGGATCACATTGTAATAAAAACTAAAAACGTAGAGTTCAAATTGTTTACATTAAAATTAAGTGAACCAAAATAAAATTTTGCTCCAAGTAAAAGGTCTATCGGTATAATTTATCAAAAAATAAATAACATAAAATAACAAAGGTAGTTGTGAAACTCCACCGCATCCAACCTACATGCAATTCACTACGGGATAATGTAGTACATTTCATCATTTCGATAACGTGTGCCTTAAAAGATATATGTTAAGAATAATTAAAAATATTATGGGTTCGTTTGGTTTGTATTTCTGAAAAAATTTTGAGAAATTTTTTCTATAAATAAGTTTTTAAAAGTAATCAAACCAAACAAATTTTTCTAAAAAAATTTCTCAAAACTTGTAAACCAAACAAGTTTTCCAAACAAATCTCTCTCTCACACACATCAAATCAATCACTTTTTCCAAAACTCTCTCTCAAAATAATTTTCCAAAACATCTTTTGAAAAAAACCAAACCAAACAACTTTTCGTACTTTTTATTTTTAAAACACATCTCTCAAACACAAATCAAACATACCCTATGTATTTTTTATTCTACACACTTTTACATAAAATGTATAATATTTTTAAATTTCTTAACACGTGTCCTAAGATCACATATTAACAAAGTTTTTAAAAAGAAATACTTGGGTGTAAGTTATATTAGTCTCTTTAGTTTTTAAAAAAATTCACTTTGGTCTCCTTAATTCCAATTTTTTTCAATTTAAATCCCATACTTTCGATAGCATTTCAATGTAAATTCTCAGTCAATTGTTGTTAAAATTTTAGACAGAATATCACGCACAACTGAGGGATCAAAGTAAAAATTTAAAAGAAACTATAAGATTGAAAGTGTAATTTACTAATTTTTATTTCATATGCAGGTATTGTTTAAACTTTTACATCAGTCAGACGTGAGTTGCACGTGATATTTTTTTAAAATCCAAAATACTAACAATACTAGACGATGGGATTACATTCACTTGCAATTAGACGTGAGGTGGTTAAATTGTTGAAACTAAAACTACATGGACCGGGATGAAATTTTACTTAAACTAAAGGGCTCAACAATATAATTTATCCAAAATATTTATTTATTTATTTTAAATAAATACTCATGTCATTTCACATTTAGGCTATTTATGATCCAACACAACAAGGCAGATACTCATATATATATATATATATATATGTGAGTGCACATATTCATGCTTTTCACTGGTTCCTTGCTTCATTCTCTCAAGTCTTAAAAATTTTCTCTCACTGTTTCATATTTGTTTGCTTGAGAAGAAAAATGAGGTAAGCACTTCACAACTAGCCTATTTTTTGGTTGATAAAGCTTGCTCATTAGATTGATTGCATGTTAAAAATAAATAATAATAAAAAAAAAAAAAAAACTATTTCTAGATGTTTAAAATAGATAATGAAAATTTGTATCTGTTTGATTTTTTTTTTGTTTTGTGTGTTGATGAAAGTTGTTTGTTATGATCTTGAGGTCACTACAAGAAAAAGCATTTTTGCCGACCACTTTTAAGTCGCCAATACTATCGCCGACAGGGTAAAGGCGACGAACTTAGCGACAAAAAATTTTGGTCGCTAAACACCTTCGGCGACTAAATAAGTGACTTTTGGCGACCAATATTTTGGTAGCCAAAAGTGACATTTCTTGTAGTGGGTGGTTGTAAAAACGTGAGAAAATTTTACTCATCAATTGAACTTGATAAACCAGCCATTTCTAATTTTTCTTCTTTTTATTTTATTTTATTTTATTTTTAATTTTCTGAGATTTTTGGTCAAAATACTTTAAAGGGTTGTTTCTTGTGATGAAGGAATAAACTTGTTGGAATGAACTCATAAAGGTGAATTCTAACACAATCACTATAAATTTTTAGTGAGAAGCTTGTTTTGATTGAAATCGTTGAGAAAACAGTTTATTGATTATTCTAACAGTTCTAAAAAACTGAATTACTAGAAAAGTTAGGTTTAGAGTTGTTGATAAGGAAAAAATATACCGATAGATTCAATCAATAAGCACTTGACAAGTCCAACATTTCATAAA